TTTAACCATTATACCCTTTCTTTCTTCTCTTTTTTTTTTATAGCACTCTCTCTATGTCTTTACCAACTTGACGGTTGTTCATTATCTCCACAATCTTTATCGTTTACTAGCATTGTTCATCCTCATCGTTGGCCGACAACCACTATTTTTACCGTCAAACTACCACCATCTCAGATTTGATACGTACGAACTCATATTTGAAATCAATAACTTGAGATCTGAGATTAAAAAAAACATATATTTGACAAAAAAAAAATGAGAAATCGAGATATTGCAATGAAAAATCAAGAGATTTTTTGTTTGTTTGTTCATAGATCTAAAAGTAAATTTGACTCTGGTTCGTTCATTTAGTATTTACTTTGAATTATAGTAAATGTTACTCTAATTCAGAGTAATTTTTTTTCATTATAGAGTAAAATTTTACTCTAAATCAGAGTAATATTTAATATGATTCAAAGTAAAATTTTACTTTGAAACAAGCTGCGATGATGACTTTACAGGAGAGTGTTGTGTCATGAACTAGAGTAAAATTTTACCATTTGAAAAACAGAGCATCATAGGAAAAAGAAAGAGAGATAGAGTTTGAAAATAGAGGAACGTAAGAAAAAAGAAGACGAGGGAGAGAGAGAAAGAGAGAGAGAGAGAGAGAGAGAGAGAGAGAGAGAGAGAGAGCATAAATGATGAGTGACATACACATACACATAGAGAGCACGAACCATTAGAACCTAAGAGATGGAGAAAGTGAATAATCTCATACATGATGTTTGCAAACCGTCATTTTTCAATGACAACAACTGTAAATGATCTCAAATTTGAGGCTGAAGATGCGACGAGTGACGGTGATAATGAAAACGATAGAGAGAGTTTCATGGTGAGCAACGGTGGTGCCAGTGTAGAGCGACGATAGCGTCGATGGAGAGCAACAGTGATAAGAGCGAGACAGAGAGAAGAGAGATTGAGATGAGAGAGAGTGATTGCAATCTGATACACACACACATATATATATGTTTGTGTGTGTGTGTGCGCGAGGGTATTATAATAAAATAAACAAATTTTAAAATATTAGAAGATTTTGAAATAATCTATATAATTCTTGTTCTTTTGAAAGATAAGTTAGATTTAAAAGACAAGTTAGATAGTGAGGAGACTATCACCAAATCTCTCAATTAAAATTAAACAAAAAAAAAAAAAACACAAAACAAAATAAATAAGTGCACGTGAGAAGCACGTGCTGAAATGCGACCACTTCGTCAAAGTCAAAGGGTTCACAATTGAGAAATTTAGGCGAGATTGGAGACGACGGAAGGTTTTCTAATGAGATTAAATATATATATATATATATATTTATATAGATTTTGTATTGACCTCATTGATTAATGAGTTAATTACATTAGGCTCCTTAGTTTTTGAACTAGTTAATTTTTTAATTTTTTATATATAAAAAAATTTGTCAAAAAGTGGAGATAATAATTGACCATTTGCCAATAACTTTTTAATTATTTTAGGTTACGTTTGATAATGAATTATTTTAATAATTTTTTAATTTTTTATAAAAAAATATTTAAAAAATAAATAAATAAATAAATGATGTGACACTTTAAAATTTTGATTAAAATATATCATTGACAAACAATAACTTAAGTTTTTTTTTTTTGATTCAATAACTTAAGTTTTTACCAAACTTGTCAATCTTCCTTGACCTTTACAATCACATAATACAAAATTTAGGTATGTGAATAAAATATATGTTTTGCCAATCCAAATTATTACAAATATGAAAACAATTACATATACGATTTGCCAATCAATTTCACATCACAAAGTGATGTTACAAAATCATTACGGGACGTTAATTTTTTTATTTTTTTATATGAGACGTAATGTGACTCAAAAAAAATTAAAATTTGACTTTTAACTTTTTATGCATGTTCCAATTTTTTTATTTTTTTATATGAGACGTAATGTGACTCAAAAAAAATTAAAATTTGACTTTTAACTTTTTATGCATGTTCCCAAATGGCCCCTACAGCTAAGGTCTTGATGTATCATTTTACTATTGATTTACTAAAATACATTTTTGTAGTTGATATATAATACAAAGATAAACTACCAATAGGTCATAATAGTTGGATTTAATTTTTATCAAATCTTATTGAAAATAAAATCTAGTAAAATCGTTGTTAAAAAAAATGATATTTTTTAAATGTCGCTAAAATTTGATATTTTTTGCATGTCGCTAAAAATTAACAATTAGTGACTTTTTTGTCACAATTTTTATAAATTGTAACTAAAATTTACAATTAATGACCTTTTTTTATGATGAATTTTTTAAATTGTCGCTGAGAGTTATAAATTAGTAATATTTTTTTGTGACGATTTTTAAAATTTTTATAACAAATTTTTTAAACTATCGTTAAAAATTAACAATTAGCGACTTTTTTTTAATAGTAGATTAAAATATTTAAAAGGATTGCAATTCTACATAAAAGAATGTGTATAACCTTTTTATATTGGGTTTCAAAAATGCTTGGGAGCTCTAATTAGAGCCATCACTAATGATGTGGCAGTGGATTCCTCCCATTGCCACAATATATGTTGTGCCTTGTTTTTTTTTTATTTTTTCAATTTCCACCTCACTAGTGGTGGATTTAGAGCTCCTTATTTAGAGTTCTAAATCATTACTGATTAGGTTTTTGTTAACAAATGTTTTACAATAATGTTAGAAACTCCAAAAGTTTTATCAAATTTTCTATCAAATGTCTTACATGGGTATGAAACCCACACTATGTAAGTCCTATGTTGATAGAAAATTTGATGCAACTTTTTAGATTTCTAGCATTACTCCATGTTTTAAGGACACTTGTTAATAATACATTAAATGATAGTAATTAACTCTACTATTATAGAAAGTACAAAAAATAAAATATACAGCCTTATGATAAATACTTTTTCCTAGTGAGAACAAAAATACCATTTTATTCATTTATCTCTATTTTATCATTTTATTTATTTGTTATCATTTATTAATTAACAAATTAGATAATATAACTCTTTTATATTTGGTTAACATGTGACATAGTAACAACTTTCATATATAATTAAATTTTTTATCATTTATTAATTAACAAATTAGATAGTATAACTCTTTTATATTTGGTTAACATGTGACATAGTAACAACTTTCATATATAATTAAATGTTAGTTGACTAACATGCTCCATAAATGAACTTCGCATTTACATTTGCATTTGCATTTACATTTTGGAATTCACAGCATCCCACATATTATTTTGAGTGTATTACACTCAAAACCATGTCAATGATTGAGAATTCCACACAAAAGCAAGCATACGCTCGTATCTCTCTATCTTTTTCTTTACACCTTTTTCTTTTGGATTAATTGCAATTTCATCTACAGTATTGTTTTAATTATTTTATTTTTAAATTATTAATTTCAAATTTTATAGTCCTATTGGATTAATTTTAAAGACTAAATGGACTTGATAATTTAAGAATAAAATTAAAAAATAATAATAATTTAAAAAATAAAAGTGAAATTAATCCTTCATTTTCTAATCTTGTTAATTAGGATGAGATGACAGAGATGAAGGGGTGACAATGAGCAGGCGGTGCGATATAATTTTAAAAAATCACATGAAGTCAAAAATATTTTGATAGGAGTCTAGCATATTTTTTTTATTTTTGTAAGATACATTATGGGTTCTATTTTGATAATTTGAATTAAAAATAAAATCAATTTGATAATTGTAATAAGTTTAATTTATTAAATTTGTCACAAAACAAAAGTATATTCTAAAAAACACACTTATTGTTCTTTTTCTTCTTTTTTTTTCATACAAATGTGATAAATTAAACAAATTACAATTACCGGATCCATTTTTTTTTAATTTTTTATGAATGATATACACGAAAAGTCATACAAAATAAATTGTTTGAATTATCAAAACAAAACCCATAGTTAGTCTCACTAGCCCAAACAACACCCTTCAATCCGAAACTCTTTTGATAAATCTAGAGGGAATTTAAATTATTAATTTCAAATTTTATAGTCCTATTGGATTAATTTTAAAGACTAAATGGACTTGATAATTTAAGAATAAAATTAAAAAATAATAATAATTTAAAAAATAAAAGTGAAATTAATCCTTCATTTTCTAATCTTGTTAATTAGGATGAGATGACAGAGATGAAGGGGTGACAATGAGCAGGCGGTGAGATATAATTTTAAAAAATCACATGAAATCAAAAATATTTTGATAGGAGTCTAGCACATTTTTTTATTTTTGTAAGATACATTATGGGTTCTATTTTGATAATTTGAATTAAAAATAAAATCAATTCGATAATTGTAATCAGTTTAATTTATTAAATTTGTCACAAAAAAAAGTATATTCTAAAAAACACACTTATTGTTCTTTTTCTTCTTTTTTTTTTTTCATACAAATGCGATAAATTAAACAAATTACAATTACCAGATCCATTGAAAGATTGAAAAACAGTGAGTAGTTAGAGCAGGCTTTGGGTTGTTTTCTGGGTGAAGTGGAGTGTCGGTGGTAGCAAAAACATTGAAAGAGTATATGCTCGCTCACCTCACTTCTCACGCACATTCATACGCTCGTCTCTCTCTCTCTCCAACTAACCATTAATTTTCTCCTCTAAAAAAATAAAATAAAAATTAATTTATCTCAGGGCCACATGAGAATTAGAAAAAGTTTGTACGGCTCATATCAAATTTTATTTTAATAATTTGAATAGTTAATTTTATTATTCTCAATATATATTATTTGTAGAAAATAATGGTATATATATTAATTAATGTATTAATAATTTTAAAAATTTTGAGTATTTATAATTTATATAATAAATAAAATTAATAATAATAATAGAACATTAATTAATATATACATTAAATAATACAATACAAGTAACACTGTGGATTTTGTTAAGATGACTTTAATTAAAACTTGTTCCAAATCTTTACACAGACGAAGACGATTCACACCCCCCATTTGCTCAACATTTGTCTCCTCTCTTCTCTGTCTCCTGTGGGACTGTGTCTCTTATCTTTCTTTTATTCTTTTATTCAGAGAGAGAGAGAGAGAGAGAGAGAGAGAGAGTTGGTTTGATCTGAGGAAATGGCTGTAGATCCAAGGCAGGTGTTGGCTGGTTTCTTGACAATCACCATGTTTGTAATGCTCGGTAACATGATCAAGCGCGACCATTTCGATTCGCCCAAAGTATTCTTTCCAACTCTCTCTCGGATTCACTTCAATCTAGTGTTTTATTTCCTCATTTCGAATCAATTGTTCTTAAATCATGTTAGTTAACTTCATTCTCTACTCTCTGAGTGTCGGTGTGAGTGTCAGTGCCTATGCTCTTCTAGATTTCAACTTCATTCAATCATTGCTGTATGTCAAATTCATACATCTTTTTTATTCAATTTTGTTTTTTTGAGTTTTTGTTATGTGGTTGAATTCATTTTATGATCATATCTATAGCTTAGTTAATTCTTCTCTTTGTTGCTGACAATTTGTGGAAAAGATGAACAAATCTTGGATCTTTCATCAGTTAATCCTTAAGGCTGTGTTTTTTTTGAGTATTTGAGGAGTGATTCGTGAAGTGAAGGGAAAATTAAGCTAAATTTTCATATTTCACTTCACTTAGCATGTGCTTCTATGGTTTCTGGGCAACCAAAGGATTTGATTATGTATATTTATGTATTCATTAGGCAATTCAGGAAGGAATGTATTGGGGTTTTATTTTAAGTGGGCCTTTCATAAATTTCACTTTGTGTAACTACAAAGAAACAATCATTTCATGAGTATCCATTATTAATCTACTTTATTACTCTTCTTTTATGTATTTTTTTCTCTAAATTTCTTTTGTATTTCTTCCCTCTTAAAGACCAACCATTCGGAAGAACCAAGGGAGAATTATGATAATGTCAAGTTTACAGAGCACACCACTGTTACACATGCTAGAGCAAGTAATGGGCCTTGGAAGGAGGATGGCCTGGATCTGAAACCTTGTTGGACAAAACCCGGTTTGGGTAAGTCCGCTTGAGTCCTAGAGATTCGTAAATTTCGTAGTTTTTAAAATTAGCTTACCTTTGGCTAATCATTCTCTCTTTCATGCTTTCTTATTTGTTCTTATGGCTAACAGAAGAAGCAACACAAACAGACGGTTTCGTCACCTTCTCATTAACCAACGGCCCTGAATATCATGTCTCACAGGTATCCTAAATTTAATATGCATCAGTTTCCTGTTGCCTTGCCTTGCACTCTTTTCTGGGTTTATTGGAATAAAAGGGTGGTTCAATCTATTACTGAACATTTTATTGAACAGTTAGTGAGCAATTCGTAAATGGCCAAGCTAATTAGAATTATTAAAAAGAGCTGCAAAATGTTAGGATCTGATTACCTAGGGCTCACTAGCACAGAGACAGAGATGAGGCGGAGGCAACTGAGAAATACAAGCCTAGAGGAGTGTTGGTGTAATCAGAGACACAGGTGGGTGAGATTGTGTCAAATGTGCATCAAGTGATCAATAGCGACCTACCATGAGAAGGAAAATAGGAATTTTTTCCACATTTAGAAAATAACTAGTTCTATCTGAAAGCTTTAACATCAAGACAAAATTGGCTAAACTCTATCAAAGCTGATGCTTTGTTTTCCATTCAAGTTCCTTCTAATTTAACTTGGTTGCTCACAGTTGATAATTCCCACTCAAATCATATTTAGAGGTGATTAATAGTGAATCTATCTCCTAGTAGATGCATGTTTAAAGTTGATTTAAGACTTGGCTTTGTTGAACAAGCTGTGTTGGTTCTGCCTACCCAAAAGAAAAGGAAAAAGAGAAAAGAGGGGGGGGAAGAATTTTATTGCAAAGCAATTTGCTTGGCCCGATTGTGCTATATTGCTCATCTTGTCCACTATTTTATTGTTCATTTGGGTTCCTTTTCTTTATTATTTTATATTGCAATTTTGGCTTTCTAGAAAAAAAAAAAATCTTCTTAAAAAAAAAAAAAAAATTTTTTTTTTTTTTTTTTTTTTTTTTTTTTTTTAAGTAGATGTTCTCTATCCAAGTCCATATATCCTTAATTAGCTAACTATGATATCCTTTCCTATTCTATTGATGAAGTGGATTCCTTTTAGAGTTCTTCATTTTTGTCTTTTTGATAAAACTTTTATTTCGTTTATCTTTCATCCCTAATTATTTATTTACTCTATGTAATTTATGTCTTCAGATTGCTGATGCTGTTGTAGTGGCAAGATATCTAGGAGCAACTCTTGTACTGCCGGACATAAGGGGAAGTAAACCGGGTGATAAAATGTAAGTGCCCATAATAGCATTTTAACACACTTTGTCTATGTACACTTTTGAAAAATGAACCACAAGCTCTATAAGTCAATTGAATCCTCCCATGAAATTCGACTTAATATTTTCCTTTAGCAGTCTTTTTTCTTTCTTTGTTCGTTTTTTAGGGGCTTATTGCCTCTGAAATAATTTTTAACGAAAGAGTATAATAAAAATTAGTCACACATAAACAATTTTGGTTATAGGCATGCTTTACTACACAAAATACAGTTCCATTTGTTTTCTTGATACTGATAAGTTTGTTCCCTGTCTATCTTTTTATGTCATCTCATAGTTTCATTTCTCCACTGGATTATGAATCTTCCCTCTGTTTCTCTGGTCTTACATATTAATTCTTGGTAAGGAAAACCATGTAAGGTTAATTACAAAGATCAACAGTTATAAATTCTAGTTTTAGATATGCCAAATGCTTAGCATGCATTCACAAATTGAGCTCTTCATTTAGGACAAAGAGTCAATAATACCTAGCAATCCTTGTCCTGGAAATCCGCAGCCAGCACCTTTATGTATTTATGTACGTGATATAAATGCAAATTGTTTCCAATTGTGTAAGGTTAATTTCTAGATCATGAATATGTACTTATTGCATATAGTTAAGCCATGAAACACAACTATACTGACATGCTGAAATCTTCAGGAACTTTGGAGATATTTATGATGTTGAGAGGTTTGTAAAAAGCTTGCATGGGGTGGTCAGAGTCGCTAAAAATCAGCCTGACGAAATATCATCCCGTAACTTAGCAGTTGTGAAGGTCCCTAATCGAGTTACTCAAAGCCACATTGCTGAACATATTGAACCAATTTTTAGTACAAAGGGCAATCTAAGGCTGGCAACATACTTTCCTTCGGTGAATATGAGAAAGACTGACCAAAAAGGTAAAATCGATTCTGTGGCGTGCTTGGCAATGTTTGGAACTCTAGAGCTACAACCAGAGGTTCATGAAGTAGTTGACTCGATAATTGAGCGGCTAAGAACATTAAGTCGGAAGTCAGATGGTCGGTTCATAGCTGTGGACTTGAGGGTTGAGATGTTGGAGAAAAAAGGTTGCCAAGGATCTAGTGGAACAAAAAGCTGTTACAGTCCCGAGGAGATAGCACTATTTTTGAGGAAGATGGGTTTCGACAAGGACACCACTATATATTTGACCCAATCAAGGTGGGATAGCAGCCTTGATACTCTGAAGGATTTCTTTCCGAAAACTTATACAAAGGTAATGCCTTTCCTCCTCTCTTTTCCTCCGTAACATGTTAATCATGTCTCAATTAAGTTTAATTATGTGGAATTTTCTTTCTTAATCAGTTCTTAGAATGGTCAATCAGGATTTTTAGACTTCAATGCTAGAATTTCATTTAGGGAATGTTTTGAAGCAACTTCAAGGAAGAATTCTTTGTCTAGAATGACTCCTATCAGTCTGTTTCATGTGTTCTAAAAGTTTAAAAAAAGAAAAAAGAAAAGGGGGAAGGTCAAAAAAAAAATTTCTTTCCTTTCGCTTCTTGCAAAGCAGAAATCACTTCAACATAGAATTATCAAGTGCTTTTCAATAGAAAGGAAGAGCCCTGTCATGTTTTACACAACATTACAAATCCATCGTCAAGAATGGCGTCATTATGAAAAGGTTATAAAATCCATACTTGTTATGATTAATTATACCCAAATTGTATTTAAAGCACATTGGAACTATCGCGAGCCTGTTTGGTGCAGTCATGCCCTAGATCTTCTTAGACTAGAGCAACTTGGACAGTTTTCTACACAATTGAATGTCATGTATAGTAGAATTCAAGACATTTGTCTTAAATCATAGCTTTGGTACAAAATAGAGTTGATTACATTCTGAATATCTCTTTTGCTTTGAAAACCGTTACAGGAAGGCATTATGCCAGTGGATAAAAAGGACAAATTTCTCGACTCAGACACTACTGAATTCGAGAAGGTTATTGACTTCTACATTTGTTCTCAGAGTGATGTTTTTGTTCCCGCCATCTCAGGCCTGTTCTATGCTAACGTAGCCGGTAAGAGGATTGCTTCTGGCAGGACTCAGATCCTTGTTCCTGCAAATGTTCACGGTTCTGCTTCTGCATCAGATTTCATATCCCCGTACGTCTCAAAGAAGAATCACTTGGCCTACTCTTGTTTCTGCTAAACTCTTCAAGTGAAGGAAAATCCGAATAGAGCGATTAAAGGAATGTCTTGATATACTCATATTTCCAATTTACCTTAATCAAGGGTTTTTCTACAGCATTCATACTCTTCCATTTGTGACCTTAGTAGCCACTCAGAAATCACTTGAGATTCTTCAAGTGGACAAACTCTTTGAAGACATAATGGTTAATTGTTGCTGTTGCTGTTGCTGTATGTATTTTTAATTCATTGTAACAACTGCTACATTTTCAGAATTTTTTAGATTGCTTCGATGTAAAAGTTACTTTATCGATTGCTCGAATTGTTTCCATATTGTGGATCCTGCATTGGTATGAAAATCATGTTTGTTTCCTCATAATTTTTCTTTTAGAATGAAGAAGAAAACAAGGGGGGTTTTAGAGATTTTCAATACAAGTGATTTCATAGCCAGAAAGAAAGACCTCTCTTTTGGGATCAATCCCATCGCTGGATCTAGTAGTCAATCAGCGGGACGTTCAAAGAGGCAATGCACGTTCACTGAATGGTAATGAAAGAATGTGTCAGGGCAAGCTTTTTTTGGGGACACATGCGATTATGGGCGAATCATTAAAAATTGACACTAAAAAAACTATAATGTTCTTTCTATTATGCTAGATGAAACATAAATTAAGCACATTATTGAATACATAAATTAGTATTGCTACTAAAAACAGTAACCAGGGTCTCGGCTCAATGCGTATGTCAGTAGGATCAAGTAAGAGCAAAAGTTGGAAGAACAAATGTAATTATTGTGAGAATATTAGATTTTATGTATATATGGTAGTATATATATTTTATATATATTAGGGATTGAGTGAATAATTCATATTTCTTTTTTCGTTCTAGGGTTAGATTGTTATATAAACTAATGTATTCTTGTATTACATACACAATTGAATATATAGAAAATATTCTGAAAGTTTACATAGTATCAGAGTTAGGTTCGAAACCCTAGCAACCATTGTCCAAGCTTCTCTGCTTCGTTGAGTTCTTTGGTTCAACCTTTTAATACGTGCGACGCATCTTGTTCGAGATTGGGTTTGGTTCGTTTGGTCCTCTGTTTGAGTCGTTGTCTGATTTGCCCGGGTTCTCCAGTTTGGTTCGTAACTCCTCTATGGTCGACATCTCTAATTCGTCCGATATCTTTGGACCTCGCAATTTTTTGCTCTAATTCGTCACCGTCGTGGTTCGTCTTCACTGGTCGAAAGGCCATCCGTCTTAACCCCTCTTTGGTTCGTGACCTTCAGTCAAAACTCCTTTTACTACTGGTCTTCTCTCTCCTTTGATTTTGTCGACTTAGGGTTCATCAACTGGTTCTCATGGGTGATCCTTGTTCGCTGATCCTCTAAGCACTGAAGTTCTTTCTTTCTTCTACTCTAGTATCGCGACCCATCACGAGCTCTCTGGTTCCATCTGGTTTGGAAATTGCGACACCAGGCTGCTCTCGCTCTCTCTTGTTCGACTGGTTCGTCAGGTCATCTGGGTTGTCGAGTCAACTGATCTTGATTTGGTTACTTTGGTCTATTTTAGGTGTATTACACTTGAACCCCTCAAATTTTTGGTTATTACCCTTTGACCCCTGGTTTGGCTATTTTGTTCTATTCAAACATTATTACACTTGAGCCCCTCAGAATTCTAGTTATTATGATGTCTCTAGCTATTAATGAGTGTGCCGTCTGCCATCAGAAGGGCCATTGAAAGTCCCACTGTCTCAAGAAGGGCCGTTTATCTGCTCTGCAATCTCAGCCACACTTTCGAGCTCCTACTCAGAGTACTTTTCAGACTCCAACCGTTTATAGTGCATCTGTTCCGTCTCTCGATCTTAACTTAGCTTCCTTGAGTACTCAGATTGGTCAACTTTAGCATATACTGTCTACCACCTAGTCATCTCCATCTGTCTCCACTGTTTCATTTCTTTATTCAGGTTTGCTTGGGTCTTCTTTAAGTATCTTTTTGTTTGTCTAGATTTTCGACTTTGGTGCCTCTCATCATATGACTCATCATCTCTCCTTACTCTAAAATTGTATTACTCCCTTTCCTACTACTGTCAATTCTACTAATGGGTTTGATATGTCTGTTATATCTATTGGGTTTGTTCTACCGTTTGCTATGTCTGTTGTCTCTATTCCATCTGTCTTATATGTTCCGCAATTATCTGTCAGTTTATTATCTATCAGTCAACTTGATGCCTCTGATTTTGATGTTATATTTTCTTCTTCTATCTATTCTGTGTAGGATCGGATGTCCAAGCGGCAGATTGGGAGTGACCGTAGAATTAGAGACCTCTATGTGGTGAAGAGCTTACATCTACCTATGACTAACTCTCAGATTGCTTTTTTTTCCAGTTAGATTCTCTGTCAAGTCCTTTCTATTTATGGCATTCCAGATTAGGACATTTGTCTGCTGACCGCCTTAGCTCAGTCAGGTATATTAGGTAAAGTTTTTCCTAGTCAACTTAACGAGTGTCGGGGGTGTAAACTTACCAAAATGACAACCTTACATTTTCGTAAAAGTATTTCTGTATCTGATACACCATTTTCTTTAGTTCATACTAATGCTTAGAATCCTTATCCTGTTCTCACTAAAAGGGATTCTGCATACTATGTGTCATTTGTTGATGACTGCACTTGTTACATTTGAGTTTATCTTACGACTCATAAGTCTAACTTCTATCAGATATATCGTGCTTTTCAGTCTATGGTCACTGCACAATTTGCATTTATTATTAAATTATTACGATCTAACTTGGATAGGAAATATTTTAAAATTGAGTTCTGTGAGTATTTGGCCAAATTAAGCACCATTCACTAGACTTCCTATACTGATACACCTGCCTAAAATGGTCGCGCCGAACATAAAAATCGTCATCTTCTGGAGACAGCTAGGTCTTTCCTTCTCTCTACCTCTGTTCTGGCTTCGTTTTGGAGTGAAACAGTTCTTACTGCTACTTTTTTTCTCAACCATATGCCTACTCCTCTTCTCTCTGGTCAGTCTCCTTATGAGGCTCTATTTTCTTAACTTCTCAATTACTCTCTTCTTCATGTGTTTGGGTTTACTTGTTTTGTCTTTTTACCCCATAAAGATAGGACCAAACTGAGTGCCCGGTCCATCTTGTGTGTCTTTTTGGGTTACAGTCCCACTCAAAAAGGTTATCGTTGTTATGACTCTATTTCTCGTCGTCTATATGTCTCCCGCCATGTTGCCTTTCTTGAACGTTTACTTTACTTTTAACTTCCTCCTCTCACAGCCCCAGTTTTCAAAGAGGAGTTGGTTTATATTGATCAATTTCCTTCTTAGGTCCCTCTTGATGAGTACGCATCTGATGTTCCCCATGAGCTTGTTCCCTTTTCTCCTCGTCTCAGCCCACCTGATGAGTCCCTCTCCCTTGACCCCCATGAGTCTGTTCCCTTTTCTCCTCCTCGACTTCCCCCACATGCTCCTTTTTCTCCTCCGTTGTTAATCTATTCTCGGCGCAAGGCTCTTCCTCTACTAGTTATCTCTACCCTTGTTACTGATCCCCCTGCTTCTAACAACTCTGATCTTGCTAACCGTAAGTATCCTCTTTACATCTGTAAACAGATAGTCAAACTTGGTTTTGCTAAAATAGGGTTTTCTCCTTTATACTGTACATTTTTATCTACTAATCACTCTTTTCTAGAACTCTAGTCTTACAATGAACCCTATCAAGATCCTAATTAGGTTTGAGCTATAAAGGATGAGTTATCTGCTTTGCAGAAGACTATTTAAGAGTTAGTTCTGTGGCCTGCTAGCAAAAATCCAGTTGGTTGCAAATGGGCCTATGAAGTCAAAACTCACTCTAATGGTTCTCTTGAGCGCTACAAAGCGCGCCTAGTTGCCAAAGGTTTCTCTAGGAGTATGATATTGATTATGAGGAAACCTTTGTCCCTATTGCCAAGATGACTATTGTTTATATTTTAATTTATGTTGCTACTGTTCATCATTGGCCTATTTATCAGATGGATGTTAAAAATACTTTTTTTAATGGCCATCTCACTAAGGAGGTTTACATATGTCATCCCCTCGGCTCTTTTCATTCCTCTAGACAGGTTTGTCATCTTCGGCGTGCTCTGTATGGTTTGAAGCAATCCTCTTGTGCTTGGTATGATCGCCTTTAGGCCGCCGTCACTCAGCTTGGATTTCATCCTTGTACTTAGGATTCTGTTGTATCTCTTTTTCACACATCTACTGGTTTTGTTGCCCTATTCCTATATATGGATAATATGATCATCACTAGCTCTGATTCTTCTGTTATCTCTGAGGTCAAGCAGCATCTTTTTTGCACATTCGAAATAAAGGATCTGGGCTCCTTGCAGTGTTTTCTTGGTATTAAGATAACTTCTTCTCCTAAAAGCTACTTTCTGTTTCAGGCTAGGTATACAAATGAGGTTATTCACCATGCTGATCTTACTGACACTAAGATTTCTGATACCCCCATTAAGCTTAATGTGAAACTTAACACTACTGATGGTATCCCTCTGGATGATCCTACATTATATCGAGAGTTTATGGGTTACTTAGTCTATTTAACTGTCACTCGCTTTGATCTTGCCTATTTAACTGTCACTCGCTTTGATCTTGCCTATGCTGTTCATGTGGCTAGCTAGTTCGTTTCTGTTCCTCATTTTACACATTGGGCTACTTTGGTTTGGATTCTTCGCTATCTTCGGAATACTATATTTCAAGGCTTACTGTTGTCTTCTACTTTCTCTTTTGACTTAGTAACTTATGCTGATTCTGATTAGCCTAGTGATATCACTGATCACAAATCCACGTCTAATATCTATATGTTTCTTGACAATTCATTAATCCCTTGAAAAAACAAGAAACAAACTGTTATTGTTCGCTCTACTGCTGAAACTGAATACCGTGCTATGACACATGCTACTACTGAGATTGTTTAACTAAATCTAATTTGCATGTACCTTAGTCTTCTCCGACCTCACTCTATTGCGACAACTGCAATGTTATTCAAATTACCCATAACACTGTCTTCCATGAGTAAACGAAACATATTGAGATTGATTGTCACTTTGTCCATCAGCATCTGCAATCTAGCTCTATTTCACTTTCTTTCGTCTTTTTGGCTCTGCAACTTGCTAACTTCTTCACCAAGACTCACACCACTGCTCGATTTCAATTTTTTCTTAACAAACTCTTAGTATTTTCTGCTAAAATACCTTAAATTTGAACAGGGATGTGAGAATGTTAGATTATATATATATATATAGTATATATATTTTGAATATATTAAGGATTGAGTAAATAATTCGTATTTCCTTTTTCGTCCTAGGATTAGATTGTTATATAAACCAATATATTCTTGTATTACATTCACAATTAAATGTACAAAAAACTTACAATTATTTATACCTTCTTTTTTTTTTAATTACAGTTGAACAAATATATAAGATATTTAGAGCATAGGGCCATGTAAGTGGCCCAGTTGTATATTCATACAGATTACAACTTAATTTAGAAGAGTCGAGCTGTTAGTGCAGCAGCAGTGTGTTGGCTGCAGATGATAGTAAAGTCTCGGGGTGAATAAGGCTCTCTCCTTATGCACTTCGAGAAGAAACACTACGAGGAACACTACGAGCAGCTATGCACCGTTGATATGGCTTCATGAGGGACTTGGCGAAAGGAGTCTTCGGAACTGGAATCAACTTCCCGACCAGAGCAAGCGGCCAGCTGTGATAAGACGATAATTAATGAAAAAAGACAAAATGCTCAAATGATAGCTTAGAAAGCAAAGTTTTTAAAAGAGAATGCGGAACGTGAGCCGTTTCAACCCTCACAAGGCGAAGCGTAAACCTTAAGACATCGATGTATAAACATTTCAAATTATTATATTTAATAAATAAATAAAATATTTTAACATAGCAAAAAGTTATTAAAAATTAATTCTAAATATGTCTTGTATTTACTGTATACTCATAGTAATATAAGAGGCCTTTTACAGAGGCAGAAGGCCAAGGCCAAACCATGTATATCTTGTTTTCTGTGTGTACTTGTTCTTTTATTTTACTGCTTTATCGTGTCATTGCAACCACAATTTTGCACAACATGCATGACAGAAGGCTTTCTTTTAATCTCTTTCGTGTGATTTTGATGAAGAGAATAATTTGAACCATAGACATTGCTAGTAACCGGTTAATGAACCCACCTGAAAATTCCCAGAAGGAAGGAAACAAGCCAGAGCTTCCAGTCGAGTCTGACAGTCGAGGCGAAGTGTCCAAGAAACTGAATGATAAGTATCTGTAGTACAAAAACGAGAGGTATTGTTAATATTAAGCAATTGCAAGGTAATAACACCATGTAAAGACATAATGACCTCTCACCTGAAGTACAAATGTTGATCCCACAATCCCAATAAAAAGGCGATTTTTTGTAATTCCACTAAAGACATTTTTTTGATCTGGCTTTCGAGCATTGAACTCATTGAATATCTGTAATTCAACTAGTTAGTGAAAGCTGAAGAAGAAACTCTAAAATAAAAATGTACTCCAAAATTTTGTTCCGTTGATGGCATTGATTAATCTAATACAAATCCAACAACCTAGGAATCCCAGCCGAAGTAAAGAACTTCAATACATCCTTTTCTTTTTATTTATTTTTTATTTTTTTAGAGTTGGGTGATGGACTTACTTGACAGAAGACGAATGCATTGAATATCAAGGTATTCTTTAATTTTGTAGCATGTTCTGTATTGCCATGATCTAAGTTTAGAATACTCATTCCACAAAAATTCAGAATGAGGAGGACGGTAACTTGATACAAAGCCTGCAGAAGTCCAAAACAATCAGTAACAGCAAAGTTTCTCGAATATTCCCAGCTTTCTCAAAGACCACAAAAGAGAGGTCTCCCCAAAAAAACAGTAACTAGAATTACAAAAACCTGGACAATTAAGTTCCTCCACATGATATTTGTTATAAGAGGTTCCCTGAAGACAAAAGGGGGGTGGAAAAAATTATGCTATATGGAAAATTAAATTATCAGAAATTTTCAACCAATCATCATACCAATTAATTTCTTTCACAAAACAAACATACAAACAAAGAAAAAATCCATTTAATTATCATACAGATAGTGCTGAACTCCCAAAATTTTTGAGTCACAAGTTCTGAAGAGAAAAATGAATTTTACATAATAAATTACAATGTAACAATTATTATTTAAATATAAAGAGTCTCCCATTGAAATTTCGCCTTAGGCCTCATGAAGGGTTTGGCCGGCTTTGCACTATATTTAACATCACAAAACAAGGATGCGCAATATCATTATGCATCTCATATAATCACAAAATAAGCCATAAGGCCACAAATTCTAACCTTCGACCAACAGGAGATCTATGCATAAGATGATCTGTGGGTGGTTCAGTTGCCAGTGCCAATGCTCCAAGAGTATCCATGATTAGATTAACCCACAGAAGCTGCAACAAGAAGATATGTCTTACAAACAAGAACAGGAAGATTAATCCACCAATTATTGAAATTCAAATCAAGATATCATATGTTTGTTTCACTTCTTTTTTTATATGAACTTAGAGAGAGAGAGAGAGAGAGCTTCAACCTGCACTGCAGTCAAAGGAACATCACCAGCGGTAATTGCAGCCACAACATTAATTATAAGGGCTGCGACATTGACAGTAAGCTGGAACTGGATAAATTTCTGAATATTTGCATATACAGAACGACCCCAGCGGACGACCTACAAGAAGGCAAATTGAATGACGATGCATTAAAACCAAATACAACCAAAAATAAGGAAAAAGCAAATGTGTGGAATATAACCAACTTTGATTACCATTCTCCTCTTCGGAGAAATAGTTGGTGTTAGTTACCCCGTACCTCACCCCACCCTGAGCTATATAAAAGGACAAATAGTCAGTTAATTACTCCCAACATCAAGTTTCAGATGCCCTTTTTCACACTTTCTACCCCTATAAATTTTTCAATGAGGTAAGGAAGCCCTTAAGGTGTACAGTGTAAACTCATGAACTTTCCAACTAACTCAAGAATGATTGGTTTGGCAAATACATTTTTAGCAGTTCTTTTGTTTTTTTTACTTTTAAAGATAAAGTTGTTGCTAAAAATATTGACGTGTTTGGCAAATGGTGAAGTAAAAGTTGCTTTTTGTTATTGGGAAAGTTAGGTGGGGTTTGGACTTTTTTTGTTTGTTTTCAATACACGTTTTTTGAATTTTTTCAACAAAAAATTTATAAAAAAAACTTAAATCCTTCTAGACTAGAAAGACCCGAAAAGTAAAATATTTTCATAAAAAAATTAAAAATAATTCACTAAAGATATAAAAAATAAAAAGTACAGAAGAAGTGTGGCTTTTTTAGCACTTGTCAAACAGGGTGGATCCTGTTAATTTTTGTGTTCTTAATTGTCATCCAAATAAGCTGAAATCAAATGGCCAAAATGTTTTTGGCTTAAATACCCAAAATGTGGTTTTTTTTGTTGAAACCAAACAGAATCTAAATAACTTAAATAAAACAATAGAAAATAAAATGGATTTACATGTCAATATGTCATAATAGTATATGGAAAAAGTCTGGATTAAAATTATTCCTGGGAGGCTGGAATGCTGGAAGAACAATCTATCTTCACGAATTACATCACAAGAACAATTGTGATCACAAAGATGCTTATTTTAGGCCAGGAGTGCAGCAAGGGTGATGGGGGAAGGAGAAAAAAGGACTTCCTCAATTTCCAGATTCCTCGCATAAAAGAGTATGAGATCACACTAACCTTTACAACTGAGGCAAAATTATCATCCAAGATAATGATATCCGAGCTTTCTTTTGCAACTTCTGTTCCTGAGATGCCCATGGAAAGACCTATATCTGCCTAAAACACAAAAGGTAAAATTAGATCAGCTACATCTAGAAAACATTACCACCAAAAATAATATTCCATATACACGAAACATCAAATTTGTTGAATATTAATAAACACAGGCAATTTAAATTGCATAACACAAATCAAATCCAAGTTGCATAATAGGCAGCAGAGTTGCATCTCGCCTAGAGGTCCCCATACCAAACAAAACTAGGATGTACATTTCCTTCACTGTGGTATTGGCAATGATATGTGTGGAACTAATCTTGAGCAATAGTCAGTGCGGGTAGAGATGTTGACACGACAAGTGCCTAGACAATCCCATTTACTAAAGCATGTTTATGCTAGGAGTGCAACTTAGGTGGGCTTAACCTGAGCAACCAGAGTCCAGCCCTATTTTTTTTAGGTTTTAGGGTTTGGGCAATATATTTTTGAATTTGGTACGGGTTTTAGGCAAAAATTCAAAAGCTCGAATTAAATTTGGACAGCTATGGATAAAGGCATCAAACAACCCGATGCCCAAATTATATATATAAATATTTAATATACATATAAATTATTAGCCATTAAATGATATTAAAATAATTTAGATCATTAAATCATATTGAATATCTATTATATACATAATTAACACATCACAAAATCTTTCCTTTTTTATTTTCACACATAAACTGTAAAGACAACCATAACAGCGTCCATTTTACATTATATAAATTATTTATCTTCATGTTACTGATGATTTTCTTTAAAAAAATGTAAATAGAATCTAATTTTAACAAATTAATAATTTAGCTAGGCGGAATTTTTGTGCAATTTGGGTTTAACTCGGATCAGGCTTGGACATACAACATCAAGTTACAATTTGGACTTGGGTAAGTCTCAGTACAACTTGGGCCAGATTTGAACAACCTCTCAACCGGTCCGAACCCACCCAAGTTGCACCCCTAGTTTATACAGCAATAAATGTGTCCAACTATTAAAATTCATAAAGGAAAAAAAAAAAAAAAAAACATCATCAATCAAATAAAATTAAAACCTTCTCCATTATTTAGTCACTTGGTATTGCTGCCCAATGACATATAATTTATAAAAACATAGACAGCTGAATTCTACGGCTAGGACTTGGGAAGTTGACCTGTTCAACACCCCTTGTCCAGTTCGACCAGTCACTATATGGAGGAAATATTTGGGCTGAATGTTCAAAATATATTGTGCAAAACAAGGCAAACAACAATATGCTTATCAAGCACATCTGCAACCTCGGATAAACTACCAGATGCATCATAACATCTTCAACACACGCGCACACACACGCACAAACCTCATGGAGTGCAGGAGCATCATTAGTTCCATCCCCAGTTACAGCAACGACTTCCCCTACTTTACGTAATGCTTGCACAAGTAAAAGCTTGTCATTAGGAGAAGACCTTCCCATCACCTATATACCATGATACAACAAAATCATATATGGGCCCACCAACAAGTAACTTCATCTATGATCATACAGATTTTAGAGTATCCAAATTACCGATATTTTCACTGCAACTAGTTCCCTTTCTTTCTCAGATAATTGACGGAATGTCTTTCCTTCAATAACAGTAGGCTCAGTGACATCTGCATCTGGAGCAAGTATTCCACACTCCATAGCAATTGCTTTCGCTGTTTGAATATTATCTCCAGTGACCATGCGTACCTAATGGTTAACAGACATTTGATTCCCATCACCATTTTCCAAATCAGGAAAAACGCACATAACTAAGGAAATTGATATCATGAACAATTTAACAGTTACATTTAAGTAAGATGTCTACCCAACAAATCAACTGTATCCTAATAAAACATCGCTGTATAAAATGTTGAAACATTGAACTGATCAACATGAAGAGGATGGAAGAAACAAATTGTTACTTTTAAACTCCACCAGTTACTCACCAAGAAAACAGGAAGAAAAAGAACCGAACTTACTATAAGTCTCTAACAAAAGGTTTTCTAAGTACATTTTATTGATTAAGACAAGGTTGAAAGCAACAAAATGCTATCTTTTAACCCCAGCAATTCTTTCCTAAAAATATGGGACATGAAAATGTATTGAACTTAATTCAACAAAGTGACTTTTGACCTCATCATCTAGGAACATTTTATTGATCAATATGAAGATGGAAGCTAGAGGCTGCTGCCTATAAAGCCCATCATTTATTTTCTAATAATACCAAAGAGAAAATGCACTGAACTTTATTCCACCAAAACATAGCTTTCAAGACCATGCCAAAGACCTAAGCATTTTGATCCAGAAATCACAAAAATCCTAGCTTCTGAGGCAAAAAGCCAAAGCCCAATGCCTCAAAATGGTTCACTAACATTCAAACAGATGATAAACTGTGGCCTAGATGTTGCTTCAATTCCAAAATGTCCTCTTTCGCTGAACTAAATTATGAAAAGAAATTTCCCCATACCACATTTCCAAACTAATTTGCCAATTTTTACCACTGTTCTGCTTTGTCATAAGCAGGCAAATTATTCAGTAGTTTCCATCACATTACATGCATATCTAGCCACCAACTAAAGAAGTTAAGAATTATTACCTTAACACCAGCGTCTGCACAGACTTTAACTGCATCTTTGACACCTGGGCGGCAAGGATCCTAGACAGAGATACATATTAGCTGACATTAGAACTTCATAACTCCATTTGGAGAAACTTATTCTACAATGAAGAAAATAATACTGGAGTTAAGACTTCATCGTTAATGCATGCTCCTTAGGGGGGGGGAAGGAGGAGGGGGGAGGGGGGGAAACATTCTATAAAGAAGGCTGCATAAAATTAGGTCTAATTTTTTTGTTTTTGGCCCTCTTCAAGAATGAGGGGCTATGCTCTCAAGCTTTAGCAGTGTCTCAATTATGGTTCATCTTCAGATGAATCCTTTAACCAATTTCAAAACTACATGCACTCAACAATCAGTAAAACCCTATATAATGGCCATTCATAAAAATGGAGAAGCCTGAAAAATAGATGACCTTATGCTGTTTCTCAGATGTATACCTTTAGGGTCATACTAATGACATTGGGCAGTCAATAAGGGGAAGAAAGGGCCAAAAAGATTAGACTCCCAATGTATTTTTTACACATCTCAAAGCATTTTACATATTTCTATGCACTTCTAACGTATTTTAATACACTTCTTACACATTCACAGTCATTAGCATTTTCCATACCTTTATGCCAACAATAGCCAGCAAAACAAGGTCATCTTCAGGTAAATTCCATTGTGCTAGTTGTTCTTCATCAGAAGGAAATTTCTCCATACTGTATGGTTTGTATGCAATAGCAACACAGCGCAAGCTTCTTGCAGCCATATCATCAATAGCTTCCCTAAAAAAGACCTGCAGAAAGAGTTGAAATATCATTACCCTGATTTGACAAATTTGAAGCAATTTTGAATTATTCTTTTAAGCACACAGGTTGTTCTTCAAATACATATAATTTTTTTGTCCTCTCAATTCATATTCTCGTCAAGTTCAATAATATTAAACTTATTTCTGATCTATAAGCAGAACTCATAAGCAACATTACTTTTTCAGCTAAAGAATATAAGCTTATCAATGACCTTATCATTGTCAATGGATTGCAGGTGACCATTAGAGTCAAGATATTCTGTGCATGAGGCCAGAATAATTTCAGCTGCTCCCTTCCAATGCACAAGAAATTCAGAGTCGGTCTGCAATTAAAGCAAGAAAAATATTATCCCATTAGATTAACCAATACAAATTTTGGGTATCAGAGTCAAGGCAATACTCACAGCAAATCAAAGAATGAACGTCAGCAGTGCCCCAAGTCAAAAAGGGATAGATATTGAACTTTAGAGTCTAAAGAGTGTATGCCATGCTTCCAAGCAAGAAGCACATCATGGCACACGATGCATAAAGAAGCATCACTCACAATCAATTGTGTTTCTTGATAACATGATCACAAAACTTCATCAATCATAACTAATATACACTTGAGTAATAAAAAGTGCCTATAATTGACCTTTTACTCACTCTTCCAAGATTTACTTATATGATTTATTTCAATGAGATTAGTCAGACTTGGTCAAAAAAAAGCAAAGGTTTTCAAATTTACCTGTGAGCAAAACAAAACAAAACCAAAAAAAAAAATGACTATTACGCTGATGTGATGGCTACAAAAGACATCTCCATATGCCCTCTTTAATTGTGGTTCATGGAATTTTTTTATTTTTTATGGAGAACTTGAGTAACTTTCTTGTGATAAAATGATTCTCAAAAAACATGTGGGTATTCCTATCTCGACTGGTGGAAAAAATTGAATCTGGAAATCATAGGAAATTACAGAGCACCAAATATGCTGCTTCAATTATGGGAAGCTATTTTAAACAAATGACATTTACCTTATTTACCTACCTAATATATCAGATATTGAAGTTATATTTCATTTCTAGAGGCACAACCCATACCCCAATGTTGGATCAAAATAAAGGACCAGGACCTGGTACTACACAGTCAGGTCTCATGAAATGTTGGTTAAGAAACATTTTAAGCCAAACCAGGCCCATTAGTATCACAAACTGAACCAAAGCACAAGTATCTCCTGTACTCAACATACTGTGCTTCACTATTGATTATATTATATATATATAGAGAGAGAGAGAGATAGCAAAGAACAACTTGTCAAACCATATTGTATACTGAGACAGTAATGCCGCTCAGGAGAGTGCTATCGCCAAAACTCAACAATGATGATAATCGCAACCAGTGTATTTATTGACTAGAAATTAGAAGGTAATTGCTGTTTAAACATCCATATAGTTCACCCAATAGAGTCTTCACAATCACAATGAAGTTTTATGACACAGAGACATGAAGCCCATCAAATGGTTAGTTTAAAAACAAAAAAAAAACACCAGGAGCAATAGTGAATCAAATAATTACCTTTTTTAACGCAACACCTCCTCGCTTTTTCTCCGAATTGAAAGGAGAAACGTGTAGAATTGTAGATTCTGACCTGACAACATCAAAGTTCATCCCCAACTACAACCAAAAATATCAATCAACCTCTAGTGAAAAAAAATGGATTAAAAGTAAAAACTGAAACACTAAAAAAAATGGATACCTTGACACCCCACTGAAGGATAGCCTTTTCTGTTGGAGAACCAGAAACCTCTATGCCTCCACCACTCTATCATTGTACAAAAAATCAAAGATGAATCTTTACACTTAATTGGTTGTTACATGGAATTCAAATAATTAATATGGATAAACATCCCTTTAAGTTTATGTAGCCAGAGAAGAATCCATCAGAAAATGAGAAGAGAAACAAAACACTCAATAATGAAACTCAAAATCCCCCCATGGAAGTAGAGCTGAATAAACAATATGTGGAGAAGATAGTATCTGCGATGGCCTAAAAAATATCAACTTATTGGGGGTGACCCAAACAAGTCCTAACAATGGGCCCAGCCTAAACAAGGAAGCCCATCAAACAAATATCACACCCTCCATCTATAAAAGGAAGGTATCCCATGAAACAGAGGTATGCTTCATCTCTCTGCAACGCAGCACACCAACACCTTCGAATTCTTGATCTATTCTCTTTGCTTGAAGAACTCTGACTTTATCATCGGAGTGTCCCTGGCCAACAACCCCGGTTGAGTGGTGCCGACCATGTTTATCTTTACAGATCTAAGAGGCCAAGCTTATCTATTCATTGGATCTCTTTAACAATCCATGTGGGAGGATTTTCTGAGTCTCACAATTGGTGCCGTCTGTGGGAAAGTGATAAAAAATTCAACGAAGAGAAGAACAAATACCACCTATGAAGCATGGGTACGGGTACGGGTACGATACGGGTATGTCGATACGCTAAAATTCAAAAAAAATAGGGTACGGGTACGGTTTGGTACGCTTGTGAAATATTTATTTTAATTTAGAATAAAGTAAAAATTAATTAAATGGTTTAATTTGTTAAGATCCAACCTATAATTAACATTTAATGCCAAAAATAAAGGTATAAATCAAAATTAAATGTCAATATATTAAATAACTTACAAACTATAGTTTAATTTTAAATCATGCTAAGTATAAAACTAAAAATTTTAAAAAAAATTTTAGAAAAATGAGCTATATCTCTGTAGTAGAAAAAAATATTGTTTCGTTTCAACTGAGGTACGGTACGGCTTGAGTATATACTAGGTACGTCTGGGTACGTCAAAAATTTAGAAGAAAAAATTTGGGTACGTTTTTCATGTACCTGGTACGTATGCAGAAATATCATATGAGGTACCATACGCCGGTAATAGTACCCGGTACGGGTACGGTATGTTTTTCGAAGAACCCATGCTTCATAGAATACCACACTCAAGGTGCTTGGACCAATGAGCACCAAGGTTAGTGATCTTGTTTTTTGCAAAAATTAAATTTTAATTGTTAACAAGCTTACACCAACACAGATCATCCAAGGTTGACAAAGTTAACCTCTTTCTCTATGGAAGGTAAGGCCCACGGCGGGGTGTTTTACCATTTTTCTCTTTGACTAAGGTTATCTTGTAATTACTTTAAAGCTGGTTCTTGATAGATTTATGCATATATATGTTTTTACAAATTCCATGGAAACCTTTGTTGATTGTCAACCATGCTAAAAACAGTTTCAAAAAAAGAAAAACAATACACAGTTGACAGATCCACAGCTGGGTCTTGCTTTCTTCTCTCTAGAAGGGTTCTCGGCAAAGTAAAGAACAAGAAAAATTGCAACCATGATTGGGCGTCTAGTTCTCTCTCTCTTTAAAAAATAATATATAAATGAATAATAATAATAAATTGCAAGCTGAACATTGTTAACAACAATTGCATACAAATTAAGAAATTACTTTTTGAGAATAAGGCAACTACTTTGAGGCCGAACAGAGAAAAACGATCATGGGCATGATATAAAGAGCATCTTAAAGCTAGGGAATGACCGAGTATGACAGCCAAGCTGAATGCCCTCTTTCTCTAAATGCCGAGTACCAATAGCTGTTAGTTGACACTTTGTTTGGGTTGCCCATCAAACTCCTCAGCAACAGTACCTCTTTATTGGGTTGCCCGTCAACTCTCTTGTTATTCTAAATCTCATTTCTGGAAGCTATCTCTATATGTATGAAAATATATATATGCGTAGATACTATACTTTCATGCATTAGTGACTTGTTTGTTCGGCTCACAAACAAGATACTATAAGCTGACCACGGCTTTCTCTCTCTAGCACTATTATCGGCAATCTTTAATTTTTGCCGAGCCAAAGGTGGAGTCGTCGCCGACCAAGTTTTTTGGCAAATCAAAGAGCCAAGATAAGTTGCCTTCCAAGTGTCTCAGCAAGCCGAAGACCAAAGATGACTCCTGTATGTACAAAGAGGTGTTGCCGACCAATCTCTCGGCAAAGCCAAAGAGGAAGAATTGCCAACCAAGAGGTTTCGGCAGACCAAAGAACAAGAGATGATGCCGACCAGGTGTCTCAACAAGACAAAAAGCCAAGTTGCCAACCATTGCCAACCAAGCTCTCAATAAAGACAAAAAGGACAAGCCGACCAAGCGATTTCAGCAAGGTAAGAAATTGGGAGGAGTTGCTAACCCACCTATCTCAGTCAGAATTAATATATCATGGTTCTAACCGGCCCATTTCAGCAAAGCAACGTTGTCTATACACACCCGACTCATTGCTTTGAGTATAACATTGTAAGACCAAAAAATTTCTCCACTCTGAAGAGTTATTCGGCATTTGTGCCCATGCATGTGCCTTTTGGCAATACCGCAACTCATAGAAGATTGCTCGGCAAAGCTACACAGTTGCCCGGCAGTGTCGTACCTCATATGAGGCAACTCGGCAACTCTACAACCCCTTCTCGGTATCACTTCAGCTCGGCTCAGTGGATCTGGCAACAAGAACGGCGCCGATTATTCTCCGCCGAGTGCACATTCAACAATCGTCAGCCTCGCCAAGCTCTTTTGCTGAGCACATTCCCCCACCAAGCACATTCTTCCACCGACCACACTTTAACTAAGGACGAGCCGAACAAAAAAAAAAAAAAAAGTAAAACCATCTTATTTTGGTCAACTTTAGGAGGTCCAATGGCATAGCCGTATGAATGATGGAATGAACACTAGGGCGCGAGATGAATCCAACGCCACAAAAATGAGTCAAATCGGATTTACGACGAAGAAGATACAACGGCTCAAAGTCAGGGGTTTGAATCTAAACATTTATGCTTTTAACATTGGGTTGCAGACACTAAAATTTTCTAAGTCATTGCAATCCAATTTTGATAGACCAATGTGAAGTACTCGTCAAGACGAATCCAACGCAAAAAACCAAGTTGAAATCGAAACTAAAACGAAGTCATACAGACCGGTCAAAGTTCGCCCACAAAGTCAACTGGTTTACTGAAGAAGACGAACCAGCAAGCTATAGAAGAAATCATCCAGTGCTTCGTGGTTGCGTTGCAATCGGTTGATCTGAACCATCAGATCCATTTTGGCTAAATCTACGCCATCCGGAATCCAATCACAATGATCCAAGAGTTGTTCTCAGCAATTTGACGCTTTCCAGGCACATCCGTGTGTCAAAATTTGCAAATTCCATTCCAAAAAAATTGCAGAATTTATTTGGAGCCCAACAATCAAAATTGAGTACAAATTGAGTGCAATTCACATGACCAAGCATCCTACTTTATCTCGGCTTCATTTCAATATCACCACAGCGAAAAACAAGGGCAAGGAATCCGCTTCAACAATTTGTAATCGGCTTACTCCTCGGCAATTTTATTCCTTCCGAATAACAAATATCATTCGAAAGCAATGGGGCAAGCACGTTGTATATAATGTGCAATTAGAACAACAAAGATTCCTTAGCAATTTCGCCAACATTGATCAATGTTGTGCATAGAAGCATGATAATGCAATTTGACGAGTAGTGTCTTGGACTATTCTTCAATGCTTTATAGTCAACTAGAGTTGCTAGTGGGTGATAATTTTTTAATTCTCTTTTCATCTTTGTCATCGCAAAACAAGAGATTACCCCGACCCTTGAACTCTCTACACATCTACGCAAATTCTCCCATTGATTTAAGTTTTTCGACTTTTCACTTTTTGGTGATTAACAAGTTTACATCGTTTGATACAGGCAATCAATGACACAAGATGTATTATTCACAATCCTTGCAATGTCAGAAATTGATCGCCACTTAAAATCAACAAAAGCCTCCGAATACGGAGCAATCTCCGTACTTAGCATGGAGCGCCATCAACAAAAGCCTCCGAACGGAGTGCCATCAACAAAAGCCTCTAAATTTGGAGCAAAGCCCTAATTTCTAAACGTACATACATTTATACATACATGCATCCATGCAGTCATTCATTCATTCATTTTATTCATTTATCAGAGGTATTCTTTATCAAGAAACCTAACATCGATTAGAACAGTATAACTGGGCAATAAAAACTCTCATTCTTTCTACCAGAGACAATAAAAGTTTTGGGACAATTGTGATGGCCCAAAAAATACCAGCTTATTGGGGATGACCCAAACAAGTCCTAACAAGTCCTAACAATAAGCCCAACCCAAATAAGGAAGCCCATCAAACAAATATCACAACCCCCATCTATAAAAGGAAGGTATCCCATGGAATAGAGGTACGCCTCAACTCTCTGCAACACAGTACACACACACTCTTCAATTCTTCATCTTTTTTCTTTGACTCAAGTTATTAACTTTATCATCGGAGTGTCCCCAGCCAACAACCCCGGTTGCATGTCGTCGACCATGCTTATTTTTGCAGATCCACGGGGCAAAACTCATCTCTTAGTTGGATCTCATCAACAATCCATGTGAAAAGATTTTATGGGTCTCACAATATCGAATGTCAAACCCTAATTTGTTAAAGGGCTTGATAAGCATTGTTGGGCTTCTTTCCTAATAACTTAAGCTTTTGGAACAATTGCTAATCTAACATGATATCAGAGCTCACGTTAGGAGAGGTATTGGGTTCAAATATCTTCATCCACATATGTTTCCCCATTTGCATTATGTTTCTCTACATTACATGTTTGGATGTTTGCATCTCCCCATGCAAGACAGGTTGCACATGAGGGTGGGTTTTGGAGAGCTTATAGTACAAGCTTTTCTGACAATTGGTGATCTAACATGATTATCAAGTGATTTTTATGCCACCTCAAAAAATGATAATTACGTGTTTTTCTCAAGTTAAATGAGAGTAATCACACAAGTTGACGTGCACAAGGACTACTGTTACTAAAATCCTCAATGCCCTTGACCCATTGTGTTTTTCTCAAGTTATATGATAATAAAATCACACAAGTTGACGTGCACAAGGACTACCGTTTTTAAAATCCTACAACACCCTTGACCCATTACATTGGCTGAGCCTTTGGTTTAACTGAGATTATGGGTCCTGATCATGCGGAGTGGCGAAACAGGATCCATGTAGCCAACCCCAAGTATTTGGGAAAAGGCTAAGTTGAGTTGTACATTGGCTGAGCATTTAAGAAACTAGAAAAAGAATAGTGTAGTTGTCTTGGACGCTGCAAAGAGTAAATATGCACTGAGAGAGAGAGAGAGAGAGAGTACCTTAGCAGGGAAAACACTGCCTGCAGTATTCTGCGCAATGGCGTCATGTAGCAGAGAGGTAACCATCATGTCAAATTGAGAGCTGTCTTCAAATGTATTAATCTTATTTCTCCCAATGTAAGCCTCAACTACAGTCATCTGTCATAAACACGATTCAAAATTTACATCAAGTTTTTGATCATATGTTATAAATGCAATTCAAGACATGATGGCCTAGGATTTCAACCAATTGGCATAAAATTATAAAGGCAAATTTTGGAACAAAAGAATTTGGAAGACCATAGCATAACCCACCTGATTCAAGGTCAAAGTTCCAGTTTTATCACTGCAAATAGTTGTTGCAGACCCCATAGTTTCACAAGCTGAAAGCCTACGAACCTGCAAACCGGGAACCATTAGGCAAACTTCATATATGATCCTTCAGAGCTACAGCTTTCATATAGAGGCTATGAAAAGGAAGAAATTATAAAGATACGTGCCAAAGCCTTGTCTGCCATCATTTTTCTCATTGAGTATGCCAGGCTGTCACAGATTTCAAGTAAAGAAAAAAATCAAAGAGTACTCAATAGAATATAGAAAAATAAAAGGAGAAAAAGAAGTAAGAAAAGCCTGCCACAATAAAAGAACCAAACCACACTTACGTCAAGGTAACAGCCAAAGGAAGCCCTTCAGGTACAGCAACAACCACAATGGTGACCTAAATAGTTTTGCAATTAGTCATGAAATAAGAGTAAAGCAGATATAATAATAAATAACACAACATAAAACAGCACTTACTGCAATAGTAACAATTTTTATTGCTCCATCAACAGCATCACTGATACTGGTCGTCCCACGAATAAACTGAACTGTTCCATCAGGATTTTTCGAGTTCCCGGTGAAATATCTGTAAAAATTTTATCAGGTTATAACAGATTAAATATGGCTTATGAATACACACAAGGCATGACTCAAAATATTAAATTTACCTAGCCAGAAGGATTGCGAGCACAAAAACAGCCACTGCAAGCCCAACTATGCCAACAAAGGTTGCCACTCCATTCAACCGTACCTATCATAGGTATTCCAAAGGCAGCCTTAAAACATAATACAAAAAATTGTTATTAAGGATCATGGTAAGGAGCATTAGTTAAGGGACACCTGCAAGGGGGTTTCTTCACCAGTATCTTCCGAGATACTTGCCATCAACAATCCCCATTCTGTGTTGATTCCAACACCAGTTACCTTGAGACAGCAAAAGAGTTTATTATATTCATGATGAAAGCATAACCAAAATTGATTATATTATAAAAATCATAGGAAATTATTCCAAGACCAAAAATTAGGTTATAAAATACATTCTTTTGAAATAAAAGTATATATAGAGAGAGCAAGAGAGGGAAAGAGAGAGTTAATTTCCAGATTCTGCAAATGCATGAATAGGATGTTCATTCAACAATAAGACAAGACCAACTGGAAATTAACAAGACAAAATAAATAATAACAGAGGTCCAATTTGACAAGAGTTATCAATTCCTACTAAACCATAGGCAGGAGGATGGATTCAAAAATAAAAAGCACCTGTCAAAAGTATAGTTAATTATTTTGCATGGCAGAAATATGCAATGCAGCTTGGTTTCAAATTTTCGAAGGAAAAATATATTGTAATAATAAGCTCAGAGAATCTAGATATGGTTGTTAATCCGAAGCAATCACAATTTCCCATGATCATCTTCACCACTAATGTAATAATCAAACTACCAGTAGAACATAAATGATCCTACTATAACAACATCCAATATTGCATACATCAGGAAAAATAAAATATTAGGTACTTTACCAGCATAGTTCCAGCACCATCTGCAACCTTGCAACCAGACAGCAAAAATGGTGCTTTTTGATCTTTGTGAATCTAGAAAATGACACAGCTCGTGAGAAAAATAAGATCAATAGTCTTACATATATTTCACAACAAGATCTAAATAACTTACAATCTTGCTTTCCCCAGTCATGCTAGATTCATCAATGGCAAGAGAATGACCAGAAATTATGATTCCATCTGCTGGGACCTGGGAAAAATGGAAAGGTAACAACCTATTTTTTCTCGTGTTCATAAGCAGTAATATCTACAGTTGCAATAGTGGATTCATAAAAACAAATTTGTATGTCCGACAAATCAAACCCACTTAAATAGGCTACACTCACCTGATCACCAATCTTAAGAGGTATAACATCACCAACAACAATGTCATATATTGAAATATTTTCTCTCCTACCACCTCTTACAACCTGCATAATAATTCATAAAAATAACAATTTAGCATCCTAAGGTTAATAGATTAAAAATAAAGTAAATGCTTCATGTTGTAATTGCACACACCTCCAAATGTATATTTCTCTTTTCTTCATTTAAATTTTGAAACTGGAGGGACTGTCGATAATCACTAGTTGCTATCACAATTATGAGAGAGAGAGAGAGAGAGAGAGATTAGTACAGAAAATTCCAACATTGATCTCATTCGATGCTATAATTGACAAGTCACCACATATCTAAAATCATATGGCATAGTCAAACAAGATGCGTGCCTCACTTACAAATATGAAGGTGAGCTGGAACAGATGTAGGTATGATTTCAGGATTAGCAAAGTAGAAGTATTACACTTACTAAAAAGCACTTTTCTAGAATTGAACACAACAGTAATTCAGACTGTTATCCTTGTGCAGTTAATATCTGATAATTTTACAGAAAGAAAAAGAAGAAGAAAAAGGCTACCTCTATAAATATTTCCTAGACAATAAGTACCAAAAGGAAAAGAAAAATAGTTGATTGAGAGATCAAACTGGTCCTAGGGATATCAAAGGATCTATCCTAAACACAATCACATCATCATATAATAAAACTAACAGTTTTATAATCATCTAATGCTCTAAAGTTCCTCAATTCTAAAGTAATAACATATTTGCAAGCTTTGAAGCTAAGATCCTACCACGAAAAGTAAGAAAAAACTGAGAAATTAAACTGATGCAAATAAACAAAATCCTCTGTTCTCTGTTGCAAAAGTAAGAATATCCAAAAAAAAATTGTCTATCCTCTGTTCTCTTAGCAATCAAATGGATTTTAAAAACGGAAATAATGAACAGTAGATCATACCTGTAACAAATATTACAAGAAGAACAGCAAAGGCAATGCTTCCCCCATCATACCAACCTTCTTCAAGGCCCTGTGAGAATGTGAAAAGGAAAGGCACAAAATCATTTCAGCAGGCATACAAAAGCATCACAGTTCTCCGGACACCTCTTCTAACCAAATTAGCCTGCTATAAGTATTGGACTTCAATTTCACTCTGAATTCCAGCATCAATGAAGTAAAAATTCCGCCAAATAATGGAAAAGTCCTACCAAACTACAATGCAAAAGTTTCTAGGCATTGTAACAATGCCCTGGGGCACAGGTCACCAGGTCATGCCAAGTTGTAGGGCTCTTGATGTTGGAAACAACAATACATATCAGCACATACTGCCACTTAGGTGCCTCATAAAAACTCCATGGTAACTCAGAAAGTTACAAGGGGTTCAACATGCAACATATATAAATCCCTTATTTTGAACTGTCAATGAATCATGCCGATAAAAAAAAGAAAAAATTCTGTCAATGAAAAATAGTAATGGGGAAATAAAGCAGATACAAGAATCACTGCTCCTTTTGGGTTTTAAAAATAACATATCACAGATCAAATCATATGAATTTTGAAAAGGTATTTCAGAGCCCAAATGGTTTTACAACTTGAGTGTCTTGAGAGGGGGGGGGGGGGGGGGGGGGAAGGAAAAAGAAAAAATCAAAAAGGAATGTTTATGTAACTATGTTAAACATATAGCAGACAACATTGAAAAATCAGCTACACATGGCTCAGTTTAAACATCACCAATAAATCATCGTATAACAGCTCCCACCTCTGTCTTTATTCCAAGTACTAACGATGCTGCTGCAGCTACCATCAAGATAATTAAGGTTAAATCTTGCCAAGCTTCCCAAAGAAACCTCTGTAGGAAAAAGCAAAAAAATGAATAACAATGCAAAAGATTCCCCAAAGTGCAGATAATAATTACAAAGAAAACACTGCCTTAAAAATAAAAATAAAAATTATACCAAGAAAGGCCGCCCTTTTTTCATGGGATATGTATTTGTTCCAAAAGCATTTCTCCGGCTTCCTAAATCACCATCATCACCAATAATTCCTGTCTCCACATTTGATTTTAACATACCTGCTACCCCTTTTACCTGATGCATATGATGATTGCACTGTGAAAACTACATAAATGACCAAAAAACATAAAATAAGAAAAAAGAAAATCATAATTCACTTGCCCCTCCATATTGTTGTAGCGCCGAATTATTATGATCCCTGGTCATTGAAGCAAGTTGTTCTAGTCCAATTGCATAATCACCACATGGAGTTGGAGGTGTTACGGTGGTACCTAACACTAAATAATGAACAAAAAGATAAATCAACACAAGAGTGAGCAATTAGTGTAGCAACTATTCATACAAGATCCACTGGTATATATTTGATTAGGACATTCCAAAGTACTCAATACTGGGATGCATTATGTGAAAGTACTTTGATCATGAGGAAAAATATATAGAACTTTATATCAGAGAGTGACTAATGCACCTAAACAGTAGTGCACCAAAAAATGAGCGTTTGGTTTAGTTTTGAAATAGTTTTCAAAAGGGTTTTGAAAATTCAAAACCTATCTGATTATGAGTTTTCAAAATAGTTTGCAAAAGAGTTTTTAGAAAATTTAATTCAAAACTAGTTTGGTTATGCATTTTTTTTGGGTCTTCTGTTTTTTTGTCTTATAGTAAAAAAATTTGTTACAGAACCCAATGTCAAATTTGTTTATTTCTTTCATATACATAATCTAACTGTACTTTTTAAATACATCTAATCTAATCTATACTGCAGAGTTTCACTATGAATTTCCTATTTTGTATGAACATTTAGAAATTTGAACACATGCTTTCTAGTTTTATATATACTCAAGCTACATACATTTAAATCGTTTCACATTTATGAAAAACTTGTATAGAATTACTGAATAATGACAAATATACAAAAATAAATCAAATAAAATTCACCCATTTTAAAAACTAATACAAGTTTAATGTGTCATGTATTTATTAAAGAGAGAGGGGGAAGAGGTTCAATTTGGGGCTATGAGAAGACTGTTCGTGGGCTTGGGTTTTGGGTTTCAAAAAGAAGAGTTTTGGATTTTGAAAACTACATTTGAATTATATCGTGTGAAAACCCAAAACCAAACAAGTTTTGGGTTTTGGGTTTTGAAAAATGGATTAAAAAATGCAACCAAACGGTACCAAAATTTCAAGGGACCATTGCTAAATCTTGTAAGTTTTTATCCTCTACTTTTTTGTTTTTTTGGAACGTGCCATTCTCCTTTTAGTAACTCCTGAATTGGTAATTATAATTCTAAGCACTTGAAAGGCTGCAATTGCACTTCATATGACATAAGAAAAATCACTTCCCTGTATATATTCCAAACAAATAACATTTTGCTTAAACTAACACAGAAATTGTCAAAAGCAAATTCCAGAGAGTAAATACCAATTGCTCGTTGCCCAGCCAATTTGAAAAGCAATGCTGCCTAGTAAACCAATTAATTAAGAATTAGAAAGTGATAACCAATCTAAAACACAAAGGAAAAAATGCCCTCCAGCATATTTAAAATTACCCTTATGACTTGTGCATGTGCTCTGATCATCCGTCTTCGTTGTTCTTTCTCTTCTTCCTTTCTCAAGTCTAAAGTGTACCGAAAACGACGAGAAGCATTAAGCACAAGTGCCGCTTGCTGTAAAAGACCAAAAGATCTTTAGTTCAGATGCTAACTAAAGAACTACCATTCATTACCCAAGCACAATAGATATAATAACAATAAACCAAAGAGCAATTGCTTAGAAGAAAAAAACCGAAATAAGCAGCATAATGTTTAACCAACTGGAACAGGTATCAAGCACAGAAGCAACTAGGTTTGGTTGTCATTAATGGTGAGCTACAAGAACCGCATCAAAAGCTCAAGGTCTCCAACTAGGTCTGCTCCCCTCCCCGCTACTGGTGAGCAACAACAAACTCAATATATCTAAATGGAAGGAATAAAGAGTGTGTGATTCCAAACCCTGGGTGTCCTATCACAATTACAAATAAGTAAACAGAAATTTCCACAACAACTTAGCTAACAGCTATTTAAGATTGCAATTATTCAATCATGCATGGCTTCTTAAGCATACATTTTATATTGTGTCACATGTGGGTTATCTCATTTTAAAATTTTGATACTAGCCTTCTGGATATATGTAGGAAAATTCTTTGCAATCAATAATACCTACTTTTGTTTCATTGTTCAACAGTTTAAAGGCAGTTGTTCAATAGTAAATAGGCAGCAACAAATTTGACAACCATACCCATAACGTATCTAGACCAACCTACATACTTCAAGGATCATGAAGCAACCAAATAACATAATTGGAGAAAAGGGCATGGTTCACAAGTAATCTCAAAGAATTTATCATGTAACACATAATCTACACTACAATCTATACAAATCACCAACATCACTTGATTGGCATGAACCATTCTTATCCATCATTTAGTTACTTACCTAGCACTTGAATATATTAAAATGACTACATAGGGTCCTTAAGTTCATTACAACCCTCCCTCCCAAAAAAAATATGGAATCAAGAGTAATAATATCGTCCCGTACTACTCTCTGATTCCACCTTTTAGGTGGCTCTATTTCCTCCTCATTACATCAACTTGCTATCATTTCATGAACTTGAGGACAACATGAAAAGAAAAACTAGAGCAACTCAAATAAGAAAACTTGCACTAGAAGTAGACCTTGCCCTGCCTGACCATATCTTTTGTATGAGCCCCAATCCAAGTAACATGTACAATCAAGACATGATATAAAGCCCTGAGCCCTCCACTCCACCAAAATAAAATTGCAGTGAACATACTACTTAAAGTTAGCAAATTATGACTGAGACTAGCTTAACCATCTAATACATAATGGAAAGTTTGGTAAAGGTAACTCCTTAGCGATAGGGTTGACTTAAGGCCTAAGCCATTGAATTAGTGGATTTAGGCCCTAATTTGGAAGAGGCTCCAAACTTTCCTTCATCTAAAAGCCCAATAATATTCTATATATATAATTTTTTTTTAAAAAAAAACTCCTTTTTAATAGACCCAATAAAAAAATACTTTGTTTGTCCAAAGGCCTATAAAAATTATCTTATGCCAAGACCCAGCCAAAAAAAAAACCCCTTTATCTATTGGCTCATAAAAAATTCCTCTCTATAGACTCTTAGTCGAAAAGGCTGTAAAAAAAGAAAAAAAAAAAAAAAAAAAAACTTTTTTTTCCAAAAAATTTTTAAAAAAAAATAAAAAATTAAAAAGAGAAATTAGCATTTGCCACGTAATTTAAAAATAAATAAAACACATGTATCTCATCTCTCTTAATAGTTAAACCTATAAATACACCCCCTAGAATTTTAGCTACAAAAATTAAAAAGAAAAGTAAATTTTACATAAAACAATTAACAATATAAACAAAAATTAATAAATGTTATTTAAATATATTTATAAAAAAACAAAAAGTCTCTAATAGATTTTTTGCCTTAGGCTTCATCAAGGGTTGAGCAAACACTACTTAGCCAAAGTCCAACTCATCCATGATTGTGAAATCTCGAGCCCCCTCAAAGCCAGCCATTGTGAAACTAACCTAATTAGGATTTTATTTTATTTAAATTATTATATGTTTTTAGGCTATAGTTAATATTTATGTTCCATGGATAGTCCATTAGGTAGATCACACATTTAAATTGGAATCACCCAAAAAAAATACTGAACTGCATTTCATGTGTAACCTTCCAAACTTGACACATGACAAACACTTAAAGTGATAGGATAGAAAAAGGCCCTAGTAGAGACAATTTACTCGCATAAAATAAACTATAAATTAATCATTTATATGATTCATTTAGCCAACCCCATGTGTGGGAATTAAGGCTTGCTGAAATTAACCAACAAATTTTCCAGATACTTACTTTACGGGCATGTTCTTCTTCTTCTTTTTTCCTTTTCAAATACCAAAGGAAAAAGAAAGACAAGCATTCCAAATCTGGTAGGGCCAGATGGCTTTTTCAGCCATTACACCTTTCAGGCCAAAAAAAATAAAATAAAATAAAATAAATCATTGCTTTCCCAAACTATTGTATTACATCAAATGATATGTTCTCATTGCTAGTTTCCCACCAAATAAGTTAAAAAATGCTTTACTTGTCAAGTGCTTTCCATGCATTGCTAATTCATTGTGAATTGACTAAGAAATGCCTATGAATTTTACGACAAAAAATCAAACGGAATCCAATAATGCACATTGGTTGAATTCATTCAAAAATTGTAACCAAAACACAACACATGCAAAATATTTACATAACATATATCTATACTATTATATAAAGAGGAGGATAGGATAGGACTCAAAACCATGATCATAACGTTAGTAAAGAAGGTTCTTACCACCTGAGCAACACATAGTATGTGTACATTTCTCTTTATCATTATTCTACATTTCTCTTTATCATTATTCTTATGCTATATTTTTTTTTGAGTTTCACATCCATCATGTGTGCAATCTGCTAGTATATGTATATGTGTAAATACTATTATATTTTTTTTGAGTTTCACATCCATGGCATGCGCAATCCGCTAGTATATGTATTTACACACAATTAATGAATGAGGGATAGAAATTAAGAGGCAGCATTGTAAGGGGAAAGCATACCCTCCATCTTCTAAGCATCTCGACGGACGCCTTTTTGGTGTTGGCAATGTCGAAAGGATCTTCAAACTCCTCCTCCTCCTCTTCGGGCCGTGCCCACCCCTCGACGCTGCCGACCTCCATGACGTGGACGGGGTCGTGGCTAACCGCCGCAGCAGCAGTGGGCAATGAATTCACCAACGCATCATCACTCGTCATCTGTAGGCACAGAACTCACTCCGCCGCTTTAACGGAGCCACGCCGGGAAGAAGAAGAACAAAATTTTATTTTAAAAATTTATCAAAAACCAGTAGTCTCCTCCCAAATCAAGGGATTCAACATAGAAAAATAAGAATAAGAGCCATAAAAACGAACATGAACAGTTTGTGGTCATTCTATTGTTAGACATTGTTGTTGACGTGTTTGGATTAGCGACAAATGCGAGCTTTTCTATATGTAGAAAACGCGTGCTTATCTATGATCTGTATTTACAGCTTATTGTTAAATATTTCTAAGACATTGAAAAAAGGTGTACCGTTGGATGGTGATGAATAGGTGGACTCCGAGAGATATGGTGGATCGTTAGCCTCTTTTGCCCATCAACGACGCTGTATTGACTCTCCTCTCCTCTCCTCTCCTCTCCTCAGAAAGAGAAAGAGAGAGAGAGTCTGTTCGCGATGCGATGAGAGAGAGAGAGAATTATTCCCCAACCAAATTAAAATGCATGAAGCTTCGAGGAAACTTCCCGCCTAATTAATGTACATAATAACATTGTTCAAAAAAACTATGATGATAATAATGGGTAACATATCACCGTACTAGGTACGAATTGTATTTATAATTATCTATATATGTAAATTGTGATTTTAAATGTCTTCTCTTCTTTTTCTTTTTTTTTTAAATGTCTTATTTTTTTCCTTTTTTATATTATATTAAAATTTAATATTTTGATAATAATTATATGTGTTAGACTTTTCAAAGAATTAAATGCCTTTTTTTATTATTATATTATATTAAAGTTTAATATTTTGATAATAATCATATGTGTTGAACTTTTCAATAAATTTTTTTTATACTTGTTCTTAATGCATTAAAGTGTTATTATGAGAGATAATAAAGCTTCGAGGAAACTTCCCGCCTAATTAATGTACATAGGTGATGTTTGGTGTAGTTGTTAAAACAGATTATAAATTATAGTTTAACAGATTATACATTATGACTTTAATCAGAAGCTGTTAATCTGTTTAGTATAGCTGTTGGATTATAGATTTAAGTTGCTGAGTAGTGTTTGTTAAATAAACTAGTTTTTTCAATTATTTTTTATTTTTTATTATTCACTATTTGTCTACATTTTTTATAAAAAATAATAATAATATTTAATAGTTCATTTGAGTCTTTTTCTATTTTTTAAAAAATAAAAAATAAAAAAATCTAATAGTATAACCGTGAATTAACATGTCCACAGCAGAAGCTGATAATCAGAAGTAAGAGGTGAGCAGCTTCTCAGAATCAGCTTTTTTGACTTAAAATAAGTTGTTAAAATCAGAAGCTATTTGAAATAAGTTTAACCAAATAGTCCAAAATAACTTTTTAAAAGCCAGAAGCCATAAGTTGGCTTAAAAAAACTCCACCAAACACCCCATAATAACATTGTTCAAAAAACTATGATGATAATAATGGATAATTTATCCGAGTTATGTTACGGACCAAATATATTATTAAATTTTTTATATGAGTGTGAAGTTTATGCATATGTAATTCGTATGAGTTTCATATTTATGTGAATATGAGAGATTTGATAAAAAAATTAATAATTTATTTGAGTTCATAGCATTTTTTTAATTTGTCTCTATTGTTTTGTTTCGGCCCTAACTATCTAATGTTTTGTTATTTTAGTATCTTTTATTTATTTATTTTACATTTTGATTCCTAGCTAACATTAATTTACTTTCACATTTATTTTTAATAATTTTTTTTTGTATTTTTTAGATGCACTTAATCAATATGGATCTGAAAAGTAAAATAAATCGACTAAAATATTTTAGAAAATCACTAAAAACAAATGAAAATTGAAATAAAAAAATGTGTATATTTTTGTTTATTTTTAGTGAAATCTTTTCGTACTTTAGTTTTTTGTTTTTTTTAGGTGCATGTAATGTTGATTTATCTAATAAGTAAAAAAAATGACTGAAATATGAAGGAAAAAAAAAAAAGTTAAGACAAACGAAGATATGTTTAAAAAAATAATGTATGAAAATGCAAACCAAACAAAGCCTCTAAAAATAGACCCAAAAAACATATCACGTTGATTGTCACGCAAGCATTCACATGGTGCCATGTGTCGTAAATTTGAGTAAATTCCAATTGAAATATTACGTTTAAGTATTTTTTTTTGTTGCTTAAAATAAATTCGACGTTTATCATAGAATTAGATTAATAGATTCAAAGGTGTGTGTAATAATTTTATATATAATTGGCCACTGGTAGTACTAGCGAGTTAATTGGTTTATTAGATGCATGTATACAGGGTTAAACTTTTGATTTTGCCATTTTGTGTATGCTACTGTTTGGTCTTCCCATGGCATGGAATAGGCCACTGTTATTAATAGGGAATAAGAGTTCCATTGGTGCAACGTTAATTCACTGTATTTTCTAATTAATTTATTAATTTATGGTGTACCGGTTCATGCATTGTATTTCTAGATTTACATGCTTCTAGTTCACATGTTTCTAGTTTACAATATAAATTACATATTCATTCGGGTTTAATTTTTAGTGTAATTTACATTTCTAGCATGTTTATTAGGTAGTAAATTTTCATGTAACTTGTACCTATTAATCTTTAATTTAGGTGTGGAGTTGTAAAGTTTATAACTTGCCTATATTTAAATTCATGTTAATTTTTCTAGAATTATTTGCATGTTAATCATGTCATTTGTAACTTTTGCCTAGTAATGTGATTTAAGTATTTAGGAGTCTCGAATCAACCCTTTGGTTAGCAGATTCGCAATGTTGTCCTTAGACTTGACATAGTCTAGAGAGACAACTCCATTTTAGAGTAGTTATTGTATGGAATTATATCTACGATGGATGTGTCTAGACTTTCCATTATACATATCACTCTGTGCCCGACCAACGAGCCTGACAACGAGCTCTTCGACTGTCATCTCCTTTCGTTTGTGCTTCAAGTGGTTCTTGAAGTCTTTCTAGCCGTTAGGCAGCTTCTCAATCAAAGCAGCTGCCTGGAATGACTCACTTAGGACCATCCCTTCTGCATGTATCTCGTGCAGAATCACTTGGAACTCTTGGACTTGACTCATGACAGTTTTAGAGTCCACCATCTTGAAGCCCAATAACCGGCCGACGATAAATTTCTTTACCCCAGCATCCTCGGTCTTGTACTTTTTGTCCAAGGCATCCCACAACTCCTTAGCCGATTTCTTGGCATAGAACACGTTGAAAAGCGGATCCGCCAAGCCGTTTAGAATGTAATTCCGGCATAAGAAGTCCGCTTGTTTCCAAGCGTCCAGAGCCATGGGCTTTTTTTTATCTTTCTCATTCTCCTCTACGGCTGGTACATCTTCACTCAGAAACCTCGCAAGGCTTAAAGTAGTCAAATAAAACAGCATCTTCTGCTGCTATCTCTTGAAATTCACTCCCGTGAACTTCTCCGGGCGCTCGTGATGATTGAGCATCCCTCCCGAAACAGCTGGAGTAACAATAGGAGGATTGACCACAGAGGCCACAGCAGGGGTTGGCAAGCCAGTCGCCCCAGGGTTCGGATCCCTACCAACATTAGCATCAGTAGTAGCAACATCAGAGACCGTTGCCATTTTTGAAAAATTACAACAGAATTTTTACTATTCTGTATTTCCAGAAATCAAACTTAACACTAGAAAATCCCACAATTGGAAATTTAATTCAAAACTAGTCTCACCACGCAACCTAGAATCGAACATGGTCAGGAAAGTTTCCAAGAAGACTGGAGGGGTCACACTGGTCTCACTTAAAACCCAAATAACCTTAGACAAAACTTTCAAGAGCATGTTGACTCCTAGTCCATGAGAAACAACTTTAAGAATTAAATTTTTCAATTGATGAATTAGGTTAAACACACCAAGTTCCAAACTGTACAAGCAATTACAACAAAATTGCTATAATAATTACAAGCAAATAAAACGTGCTTTATATATTGGTGAATAGCCACAAATAAACACTCAAGCAAACAATTGCTTCAAATATTTAGTCCAAATTAATCATTTTTCCCATTTCCATAGGTATTCCTGCAATAAAGAGTTAGCAGCAAAATACAACAAAACCTCTCTCAATTGTTCTTTGTTTTTGGCAAAGTAGTGATTGAAGGGAAGGGTACTAGCAAACAAATTAATAAATAACTATAAATAAAGATTAAAACCAATCCTTAAGTTACACATCTAGAATTTAAATTAAAAAAAATTGTAAAAAATTAATTACATAATAAACATATAATTAACTATATAAGTTACAGACCTAAATTAAATATAATTAAATCATATTTTAAATTGGTAAAGGTTACATATGAACTTATGGTACACTAAACATGTAATTAATTGAGGCAAGTTACAAACATTTTATAACTCCTAAATACTTAAATCACATTACTAGGCAAGATTTACAAATGACATGATTAACATGCAAATAATTTTAAAGAAATTAACATGAATTTAAATATAGGCAAGTTATAAACTTTACAACTCCACACCTAAATTAAAGATTAATAGGTACAAGTTACATGAAAATTTACTACCTAATAAACATGCTAGAAATGTAAATTACACTAAAAATTAAATCCGAATGAACATGTAATTTATATTGTAAACTAGAAACATGTGAACTACAAGCATGTAAATCTAAAAATACAAGGCATGAACCGGTACACCATAAATTAATAAATTAATTAGAAAATACAGTGAATTAACGTTGCACCAATGGAACTCTTCTTCCCTATTGATAACAGTGGCCTATTCCATGCCATGGGAAGACCAAACAGTAGCATACACAAAATGACAAAATCAAAAGCTTAACCCTGTGTACATGCATCTAATAAACCAATTAATTCGCTAGTACTACCAGTGGCCAATTACATGCAAAATTATTACACACACCTATGAATCTATTAATCTAATTCTATGATAAACGTCGGATCTATTTTAAGCTTGTTGGGAAAAACTACTCACATTACATAATTTCACATTACATATCGCAAAATTATGAGATGAACAAAACAAACCTTCAATCCCAGGAAAAATAACATGCTGAATAAAATACAGGTAAAATATGAAATGGTTAAAGGAAGCAAACCGAAACCTGTGTGATACCACAGTCTCCTTAAAATAGATTCGCCGCCTCATTGTTGGGTGCTGGAGGTACGCCGGCGTCTACTTCTCAGGATACGACGGTTTTTACCAGTTACAACAAAAGCACCTTCTGATTAGCTTAGTGAACGGATAACGGCAGCACTCTCTCTTAGGAAGAAAATTATAAGAGAA